GGGCGGGCTCCTCGGTCACTGCTGAGCCGGGGTGGGGAGCCCCCCCCCCCCCCCCCCCGCCCCTGCTCCTGACATTGGGTCACTCCCAGGCCTGGAGCCGCCGGGGCCGGAGCGTGTGGAGAAGGACCGCGTGGAGCCAGATCACCTGTGAGTTCTGCCCCCGCGGGGAGGAGCCAGGGGACCGCCGGGGGGGCTGTGGGGAGCGCCGCCGGCAGCAGGAGGCCCGCAGCACGGTCCCTCCGCCCCTGACCTCATCCTCTCTCCCACCCACCCTTCCCCCGGGAGGGACAGGCCCTCCGGGAGGTTCCCACAGGCCTCGGAGGGGCCGGGCTCCTGGCAGGGTCTGCTTGGGGACCACGGGTGGGCCATCCCTCTGCTGGGGAGCGGTCTGTAATGGGGCGCTGTGTCTCATTCCCGCCCAGGCTGATGGTGCAGCAGGTGCTGCAAGAACTCCGCCAGTACCACGGGTGAGCGGAAGGAGCCAGGCGAGGGACGGGGGAGGCAGGAGGGGCCACAGGGGACTGGGCGGGTATGGGGACAAGTGTGGGAAAGGACAGGTAGTGGGTGGCTGTGGAGAACACAGGGGTGGAGGACAGATGTGGAGGGCCAGGTATAAGAGGAAGGTGTGGGAGTCAACAGGTGTGGGAAACGGGCTGCAGAGAATGGGGCAGGACAGGTGGGAGGGGGGCATGGGAGGGGAGGCTGGTAGGAGGGGGGCTGGTGGGAGGGGGGCCAGCGGGGAAGGGAGAAGGGCCATGGAGGGAGGAGAGAGCCGCGCTGGCCACGAAGCCTCTGCAGATGGAACAGATGCATCTCCGCAAACGCTGCGTCTGTTAGGGAAGCTCCTGGTTCGCTGATTCTGTTCCATGGCCCAGCCTCAGCCCCGGTGACCACACATGCAAGCCCACGTGGAGGAAGGGTGGGCTCTCGGGCCATGGCAGCGGGCAGCGGGCAGCGGGCAGCAGACAGCGGGCAGCGGGCTCACAGCTAACCGCAGACACCCTGGGGGAGAGGGCGTGGGTGGGGAGGGGCTGCTGACCGGAGTCTGTCCCTCTGGTCCTGCAGGGCTCAGCAGAGGGCTCACCTGTCCGTCAGCCCCAGAGAAGCCCCCTCCAACCTCACCTGGTTTGAGTTCCTGTCCGAGTGAGTAGGCAGAGCTGCTGGTGGAGGGGAGGGGGGACGGTGTGTGGAGAATTGGGGGACGGGTGGGAGGGGGGGGAGAGACTGCGGGCGGGTCAGGTGGGAGCCCAGCACAGGTTTGCACAAGCGCTACTGGCAGCCCTCGGACCCTGGCCTGGGCTGGGGGCAGGAGCTGGGGGCCTGTCCTCTCGCTGGAACCACCAAGGGCAACAGCAGGGGTGAGGGTGGGGCTCCTCATACACCTGGGGTGAGGGAGGAAGACTTCCTGGAGGGGGTGGCAGCTGGGACTGGGCTCTGAGGGAAGGTGGAGTTCGCCGGTCCGAAGCTGAGGATGGGGGAGAAAACTGCCTTCTGGCCTGGGGACCGGGGTCAAGGTGGGCTGGGAGGAGGGACAGCGCAGGAAGTCAGCAGGGGCCGGTCACCTCTGCAAAGCTGAGGCCACAGCCACCTGGTGACTGAGGACGGTGAGCGCAGATGGCAGGGCAGGCAGGGTGCAGGCTGGGGGTGCAGAATCCCCTCCAGGGAGCGATTCTGCCCAGCTGGGCTTGTTTGCCGTTGACCTAACAAGTATTTATTAAGTAAGATGTGCCTGTGGTCAGGCGAGCCAGGGCAGTGATACGGGGAGGGAAGGAGAGCAGGGTTTGAGAGAAATCCCGCAGGAAGAACAGGCAGGATTTATGGGCTCATTAGATCTGGAGGGGGGGTGGGTAATCAGAGGGAGAGGCAGGGATGGTAGCCCAGGCCCATCAGGGGACCTCAAGCTTGAGACCATGTCCTTGCCCGCCTGCAAACCCAATCTCTAGGGTCCCTGGGACTTTGCAAACAGCCTCAGATGTCTGATGAGTGAGAGAAGGAGGGAGAGAGGTGGGGCAACAGAAGAGGTGGAACAGGAGGAGGAGGCCACAGGGAGTGGATGCAGGTCAATTCCAGGATTGAAGTGCAGGACTGGCTCAGAATGGCCCTCTGACCCTGCTGCTCCCCACCCCACCCCCCGCCCCATCCACCTTCCCACCTTCAGGAGCGAGGACGGAGCCATCAGCATCGAGCGGAGTGACAGGGGCACCACCAGGGTGAAGGGCAGACTCAGCTCCCTGCGCAGTCGAGTCACCAGGCACAAGGACAAGGTCAGGGGGTGGGCAGGGCCCCTCTGCCTGCCTCGCATGTCAGCGAGCCCTGGCCCTGGAGCCTGTGATCCTCAGTCTCCCCTCTGTCCCCCAGGGGAGAAGCCAGGGCCCTCTGAAGGACAAGGATCAGGATGCGCGAGAGAGAAGGGAGCGTGTCGACGGCCACCAGCTGTCCCGAGGAGCCTCCTCTGGCCACTCCGCCTGCCCCCCGTGCAGCCCTCCCGCGCTCAGCCCCGGTAAGCCAGGGCCCACCTGTCCCCGCGGGTGACAGCACTTTCTCCACTTCTCTAAACCGCTCTCGTGGCTGCCTTCGCCCTCTGCACTCCTGTCCCATTCTGCCCTCGCCAAGAGCGGGCCAACCGTGGCTCCTGGAGAGCACCAGCCTCCATCCCCAAGGCCAGGGACCATTTGGTTAGCGGGGGGGGGGGGGGGGGGGGCCAAATTCCCTTTCAAGTTTCACGTTTGTCGTTGTCAGAATCCTCTTGCGAAGGGTGAACGTGGGCAGGGAGTTAGCTGGCGAGGGCTGCAGGCGGAGTCCTCCGTGCGGCCTGTTCTCTCTCAGCTCCTCCCGCAGGCTCTAGGGATGGGGTCAGACAGCCTGGGTCTCTCTCCCCCGCGCCTATGGCCACCGAACTGCAGGCTCATATCCTGTCTTGCCTGCCTGCATGCCTGTCTCCCAATGTCCCCTTTCCTAAAGGACACTAGTCGGCCACATGACATTAGGGGCCCATCCTCCTCCAGTGCCACCTCATCTGAACATACGACATCAGCAATGACCCCCTTTCCAAATAAGGCCACCTTCTGAAATACTGGGGGGACGAGGACTGCAACCTCTGAATGGCAGTGTTACCAGGTAGGGGACAGGCCCGGAGTAGGTCTGCCTAGGGCCGTGGTCGGCAAACTCATTAGTCAACAGAGCCAAATATCGACAGTACGACGGCTGACATTGCTTTTGAAAGCCACATTTTTTAAACTCAAACTTCTTCTAATGCCACTTCTTCAAAATAGACTTGCCCAGGCCGTGGTATTTTGTGAAAGAGCCACACTCCAGGGGCCAAAGAGCCGCATGTGGCTCTCGAGCCGTGGTGTGCCGAACATGGGCCTGGGCCAGCTGGTGCTGTGTGGGCTCTGGACTTGGTGTGGGACACATTTCACAGCAGGAGTCCGGGGACCACGAGGGACCGTTCGTAAAGCTGGGGCAGGAAACCAAGGGCTCAGCGTGGAAGCAGCAGGAGAGCCAGGCGGGGCTGTCCTCGCTCTCGGGGAGTCAGAGCAAAGGGGGCCGTGGGGACAGGCTCAGGGCTTAGCCGGGATGAGCTGCTGCTGCCCATTGCTCCCCGGGTTGCAGGTCCCTTAGCGTTCAGGAGATGCAGGTCTGTGGGGGAAGGAGAGGGAAAGGGAGTGGCGGGGCCGCTCCCGGAGGAAGAGCACGGGCTGGGTCCTTTGTCTTGAGGCTTCGAGATAGAGACTCTTCCCGAAATGGCAATACAGCCGTCCAGGTGTGGGGCCTTGAACCCGAGGCGGATTCTGAAAGCCTCTGAATCCGCGTGTCTGTCGTGGTAGACAAAGTCTGGCCTTTTAACTGGCTTCTCATAGTTGGGCCAGTAACCGTCCCCATCCACGGTTTCCCAACAGCCGCGGTCCCTTCAGAGGCCTGGAGCATGAGACAGCGTCCCTTCAGGAAGGAATGAGCCCAGCCAGCGTTTCTGGGGTCAAATTCTATTTCCCACAAGTTTCCAAGACCCAGGGACAATGCCCGTTTCTCTCTCGGAGCACTGTGCGTTTGGGGCTTCTCTCTCTGAGCTCTCCCTGTGGGAGAGCACTAATGACCGGCAGTGACACTGTGTGACTTACTCCCCAGCCAGCCGCGGGCGCGGGCAGGGCTTCCCACCCTAACGGGCTGCAGGGCAGCCTGCCTCTCGCCGCCACCGCCGCCGCAGCCACAGCGCAGAGGGCGGGCTACTCTTTAGGGAAGTGGCTTTTTGGGGTGACCTTCCTCTGTCCAGGAATTCTCTGTTGCCCCCTTCCCCAACCCTTGGTGTCCAGCCAGGAGGTCCGAGGGGTGCCTTGGCTGGGGAACTTACAGGGTGCTGTGGGCCACCCTAAGTCCCAGGCTAGGGCCACCGATTCTGACTGTCCCTCTTGGGCCTACGCAGGTGGGGACACTTGGGGTTTCACAGCCCGGGAGTGAATTCCAGAGAATAGGGAGTGCCGGCTCTTCACATTTGGGCTGTGAGCCTTTCCTAGGTCCCCGGCCAGGAGCCTGGGTCTCAGTCCCCTCCCCGCACTTATAGAAGCTGGGAGCCCTCTTCAGCCCACCTCCCCCGGGCCCCGGAGGAGCCGGATCACCAGGAGCCCGGTAGCTGCTGAGAAGGCATATTCTCCTGTAGCCCTGTGCTCGGCCCCGCTGTTGGAGTCTGTGCACTGGCCGACAGCAGTACAAGGCTAAGACAGGAAATGAACCAGGACAGGAGAGAGGGGCAAGAGGGACAACCCCCTTTCTGCCCCCGTGCACCCCACAGTGCAGGCCAGATGCAGGCCAGAACAGCTGCGGGAACACAGCAGGCTTCTGGTGAAGTACTAGATATCAAGGATCAGATTTAATTCTTGGCTACAAGCCTGACACTGTCATTGATTGCTTTAAGTGGCTAGCAGAAACCATTGAGCAACCAAGTCTAGAATACAATGCCAGGCAGGGCAGGAGCCATAACTAATGTTTTATTTTGTTACAGGAAAAATCAACACTAATTATGCCCTCTAGAGGAACTAACTCCTGGGTAGAAATTTTAACATTATAACAAACCAACAGGCTAAGCTTCAAAATGGCCCAACTTGTAACTTGTAGCTGGACTATTTTGCTGCATTTTGGCAATACAGTATTCCCCAACTTAAGAGTATTCAACTATTTTAGAGGTTTAACGTAACTAACTCCTCCTACCCCTCCATGGAGGAACCCCCTTCTTTCCCCTAGATTTTTAATTTTAGATGTAATGGAAGGTGCAAAAAGAATAAAGAGGGTCCCCTTGTATCTTTCACTCAGCTGGTGCCCGATGCACAAAGATTCATGCAAGAGCAGGCCTTCCTCCCCCCGGCTGACCCAGGTGGCTTCCCTCGGGCCGCCCGTAGGCACCCAGGATGGGCTGGCTTCCCTCTGGCCCCGGCTTTGTCAGGAAGGACATTTGGAATGACATCCGGTCTAATTAGCATATTACCCTTTTATTATTATAGATGACCACAGTACATTGATCACATAAGAAAAGCACAACTTACCAAACTCCAACTTCAGATGCCACGAGGTTGCTGTTGTTGTTTTGTTGTTTCCATTAGGGCGATCTTCCTATTTTCGGATCCAGCTCAGGACCCCCTATCGTTAATCATCCTGCCTCCCGTCTCTCTGGTCTGTGACGGTTTCGCAGCCTCTTCTTATTGCTCATGACCATGACAGTGTTGAGAAGGGTTAGCCATGAGTCTCGTAGAGTGTCCTCCAGTCTAGCTGTGTCTGGTGTTTCCTCATCATTAGACACAGGGGTTATAGTTTGAGGAACCTCTTGCCTCCTCATATCAGAGGGCAAGTGCTATGATCATGACATCCCTGGGGATGTTAACCTTCATCCCCTCGTTAAAGTAACGTCTGCCAGGTTGCTCTTTTTCCTTCTTCCTATTCTGTTGTTTAGAAGCCAGTCACTCAGTTGGGTCTACTTTCAGGTGGGAAGAATTCAAGCTCCAGCTCTTGGATGCATTTGACTTTCAAAATAACCCTTTGAGCTCAGGGAAGATTTGAGCTTGTGTGAAAGAAATTAATGTAGGTAGCACTTAGCTTGGTGCCTGGAAGGGCAATGGTAGCATTTATCATCATCGTCGTCGTTGTCATCATCATCATCATCATCATCATCATCACTCTTTGTTGTTGTGAAGGCAAAGCTAGCATTTAAAGCAGAGCACCTAAGCCTGGGCTTTGCCACAGCCCCCACACCTGTCTAAAGAGGCTCGGGAAGCCAGAACAGCTGTGTCTCACTCCCTACAGGCTGAGAGCAGGCACCTCCAGGTATAACTCACCACAAGCTCATCTACTGTGGGAGACGTGCAAAGCCACACATCACTCCCTGTCCCCTAGAGCAGTGTTTCCCAAAGTGTGGTACGCATACCCCCAGGGGTAGGGAAGAGTTTGGTGGGGATAGGCACTGCGCCGTGCTTAGCTGCGCCTAATTCTACGTTCTCATGAGTACAAGGGGTACTCAGCGTTACGAAAATTTAGGAAGGGTACACATATGTCAAAAGTTTGGGAAACACTGCCCTAGAGGAAGCAGCCCACAGTGGGTGACACAGAACAGGGAATGACTCAGTCTCAGGTAATTATAGGAGGTGGGTCTCCACGGTGAAGCTGACATTCTTTCCCAGAGACCAGCCCTCCAAAGGAATACTATTCCAGACAGTCCTGTCCCTGGCCTTGGCCTTTGAGGCCCTTCATGGTCTGGGCCCGCCTACCCCTCCACCCTTCTCTCCCACTGTTCAGCCACCTTGGCTCCGAAGCTCAGCCACCCTGACACCTTGTGGCTGCCCGTTGTGCAGAGTGCCTGCTCATTCCGCGCTGTTCCTGGAACTCCCTGTGCCACCTAACTCTTACTCACCTTTTAAAACACAATGCAGATCCACTTCCACCGTGAAGCCACATTAGGTGACGGTATGTGTCTGCGTGTCTCTTAGGCCAGCTGCTGTCAGCTGAGGGTCATTCTGTCCTCCTCCCCAGGACAATTGACAATGCTCCCTGACATTTTTGATTGTCAGGATTGGGAGTGCTACTTATATCTAATGGGTAGAGGCCAAGAATGCTGTTTAACATCCTCCAATGTACAGGACAGGCCCCCACAACAGAGAATTTTCCAGCCCAATTGTTGATAATGCCAAGACTAAGAAATACTGCTGTAGACTCAAGCTCTCCGTGTCTCCTTAGCTCTTAGTAAATTCCATGCCCCATGATAAAGACTCCATAGTACAGAATGGTTGGGTGGGTAAAAGACGAGAGATATCTCTCCTTGCCATGCTCTTTGAGAAAGGCAATTTCTACATTTAGGGGAGAGCTATGTCACCTGAAGGTTTCTATAACCAAGATGGCTGCAGAGTAAGGGTCATACCACTCCCCCTGCTTAGAATCTCCAATGGCTCCCCAGTGCCTTCGGGTAAAGTCCAAAAGCCATAGCAATTCAGAGAGTGGACGTTTACCAACCCTGAAGACTTC